AGCGCTAGCGGTATAATTGAATCGCGATATTGTTTTGTCTGCAGTATATATGAATGAAAGTCGATAAGGAATCGATGGTCATTTCTTTTTATTTCTTTCTACACTTATGTCTTGATATCTTATATATGGTTACGATTACGATTAAATAGATCACTGATTTGACTTGCTAAAGGATTAATTTTGATATTGCTAATTGATGGATTACTTGTGTGTGTTAAAAGCACAAATTCACTCTATTTCTTTTCTACTATTCATTTACCAACGATGGAAATTGTACATCTTTCGGTGGTTGGCGGAGATATACCACATAGGGTAATTCCTATGCCATCAGATGGTAGCTGTATGTTTCATGCTGTAAGTTATGCATTGTACGGCTGTATAGTACGATTGTATGTACGATTTCTTGAAAAAAAGTATTGAAATCTCACCAAAAACATGCCTGTTAAAAAGGGGGCCAAGTTCCAATCGGCTAATTGTTTGCCTAAAAAAGGGGTGAAATCCAATCTAATGCCAAGTTTAGATGCACTTTGAAATCGATCATAATCATCTTCATCAACAGCATGATCCACTGGTAAACATTTGCCATTCCCAAGACTCGCCACCACACCCAGTCCTCTGCCTTCCACATCCAGCCACTACCCGCCACCTTATTCACGTCAACGGTCCATCTGGCCGAAATTCACTTTACCATACACCCAACTTAAAATATGGTATAGTTGTGAAAATACGTAGGTGCTTGGTTAAAAATATCTAAAATTATAATACTTCTCAATTTGAACTTGGCAGGTTTTTGTGCTGTACGTAACACTTAATTAATTGTATCATTAATTTATTATTTAGTTATATAATTATTTATATTTATATAATTTAAATATTATATAAATTAAATAATTAAATTAACCTGCCAAGTTCAAATTTAGAAGTATTATAATTTTAGATATTTTTAACCAAGCACCTACGTATTTTCACAACTATACCATATTTTAAGTTGGGTGTATGGTAAAGTGAATTTCGGCCAGATGGACCGTTGACGTGAATAAGGTGGCGGGTAGTGGCTGGATGTGGAAGGCAGAGGACTGTGTGTGGTGGCGAGTCTTGGGAATGGCAAATGTTTACCAGTGGATCATGCTGTTGATGAAGATGATTATGATCGATTTCAAAGTGCATCTAAACTTGGCATTAGATTGGATTTCACCCCTTTTTTAGGCAAACAATTAGCCGATTGGAACTTGGCCCCCTTTTTAACAGGCATGTTTTTGGTGAGATACTCGTATCTACATAATTAAAGATCTGATCTACAATTTTCTAATGAACCAATTTTATGATAAAACTCACCATTTTGTAAATCCCAAAAACCCGTTTTTGTGACCTTTGACATAGTAAATTTATTTGTACTTGTCGGATCGATGATAACTTTCCTCATTTGTTTTATAATGTTGTTTTGAATAAGTCTACCAACTTTCAACCAAATGGAAATTTTTGTAACCTCACTCCTATTTTTAGTCTAATTTGACCGGAATATAAAGTGGGAACAAGGTGATAATATAAGATTTATAAGAGACACATAAATTATTTCATAAACATTTCTATCGTCTGTCTTCTTTTCTTTTAAGAGTTTGTGACGAAACAGTTTTAACTTTGGTGTCTACTTAATTATTAAGCTGTTTTAAGGGACAACAAACAGTTGAACTTTTATATGAGAAAATATAATTAAAACTATATTTCTCTTAACTACATAAATAAAACAATAAAAAATGAGTAAATAATATCATATTTTATTATAAATTTCATTACCGTTATCAATTTCATCACTTCAGAAACAATACATTTATTTTTTTATCTTTAGTTTGAATTAGAATGATGTAAAAGTTAAATTGCATTTAAAATCTCCATTAAAGTGCCGTTCCAAAAGGAAAGAACAGTAACTTAAGAGCACTATATTTTTCCAAGACAGAGCAGATCTACAAGACGTTACATCTTTACGTGAGTCCGGTGATAAATTACCCACTAAGCATCCGCTTTTTAAACTTACCATTACCAGATATCATGGAAAAGCTCGTAAATTAAAATTTACGTTTAAAAATAAAAACTTTGAATACGTTTATAATAATAAATAATCCCAAGAAGTAGTAAAGAAATCATCGAAATAATTTTAATCTTACATTAATTTAAGAACGCCTGTAAAACATAAATAGCAATTGTTGTTTTACTGACATAGGAAAAATGTTTAGGAAAGGAAATTATAAGTATCTTTCAACGTTATATTCCTATCTTAAATACATAAAGCATATGATAATGCTTCAATCTCTTCAAATACCTCAAGTATCTATGAATATTTGTTTCAATAATATAATCAATTATCGCTGTTCTGGAAACTCTCGGGTTCGTGTTGGCTTTGCTCTGATTAAGAGATCCCAACCAGTGTTAACCAAAAATCAATAAAAGCTAATGTTTGTTTCCACTATTACATTCGTCAAATTTCTGTTATAGTTGCTAAATCTCAACTCATTAGATAATCTACGTAGCTAATATCTGACTGTCTATACCTATGATTAGAATTTATTTTATTAGTAAAATAACTTATTTGCGAGTTTTTCTATAAGTATTTTCTATATAGAAAAACTGAGACTCATTTGGTACGTAAATATATATAAACATTGCAACCTTAATAAGCATAATTGTTTCATTTCAACAAATTATTGACATTACGTTACTGTTGTTCTTGAGTTATTTGATGCATTTTTGAAACTATTCTGTGATAGAGCGTTCAATTACAGGACAGAATCGCCAACCAATCAGAATACCAGATGATATACAGGCGGATTTGAAAATTAATAATCATTAAGTTATTTACCGACTCATAAACAAACTACCAAGATATCATATATTTATTTTTTATTTGAAATATACAGGTCGAATCAACTCATTAATTTAATAGCATAACCACGAACCTTAAAAAAATTATGTTTTTGAAAAGACTATTACCTTACTCCTATGATATAATACCTTTTGAATGAGGGATTTCAGTAAGCATGAGATACGTCAATCTTATTCAAAGACCACATATACATATCGGAAGCCTTGATCAATTTCTTATTCGTGTGTAACCGCCCTTACATCGGTCTAGAACTTGGTAAATGATTTCCATAGCCATTGCTCAGTGCATAGCCGTTATGCATTCTGCCTTTGAACCGTCTATAATTTAATTGGAACGTCTCGCATCCAAGCTGATCCAACTTTGGACTCCGTCTCCGATAGACAAACTTTATCACTAACCTACTTATATGTGAACATAAGCAAATATTGCTTTGTACACATGGTCATTTGTAACACACACAGTGGTCAGAACCATCCTTTATATTTCATATACTTCAGCCCTTAAGTATTGGTTTGTTTTTTTATCATATACAGTGTTTGTTAAGTTGTATATATTTTATATTACTTTTCAATATAATTTAAGTGTTTATCATCAATATCTTTTGAAACTTGTACTTAGACAATATTATAATTGGAAGTATGTCTCCTTCTAAGGTTTATTTAAAGGTCTATTGGAATGAGTCTATAGAAATTATTCAATCAATGCCAAAATATTTGTTACTCCAAAAAAGTAGGTTTATTTCAGTCCTTAAGTGAGAGGAGTGTAGAAAGGCTTATATGAAATCCCTATACTGAAAAAGGTTGTTCAAAATAGTACCTTGATATGCAATGAGCAATATAGTGATATAGTTTTTGTGATATAAACTGTAGAAACGTTTTAATGAAGTGAAAATTTCTTAGACTTTTTGTTATAATACTAAAATAAGCAGGCTTTAGCCTCAATACATAAATCTTAGAAGTTATTTAATTATTGTGTTATGTGATCTAGCTAGTTATAAGTTAACAACACTAATGGATATAGTTCAAACATATTGGACAGATGTTACTTCTATTCAAGACGTACTAACAGTATTTTTTATAATACAGAAGTTATTATAATATTCATTTTAAACTTTTTCATTGATATATTTTTTTATGTTAACAAATATAAAAAATATGCTTATAATGTAACTCAAAATATTGTACACTTGACTGAAAGTAAAGTGTGTTTATTTTCTATTCCTGTGAATAAACTTGCATCTATATATCCATGTTACACATTACATCTTTCTGAATCAAATTTATTACCTTATACATTCTAAAAGAATTCATTAATCATAATTCTTTTAAGCGAAAAGCTTACTTTGATAAAAAAAAACTACGAGAACGTTGTTTTACCTCGAATAGAAATTGGTTGAAAAGAAAAACTGAAACTTTATAGTTTTACTGCAGTTTAAGTTTTGTATAAAATGCAATATTTAAGTTAACAATTTTTATTATTTTCCATTACCTGTACTTCTTCGACTTCTTGTTGAATTTTTTGTATTAATAAAGCTAATGAGTTCACTGTGAGTTTGGATTTACGAAATATACCACTTATTGATTAATCTTTTAAGTGGCTCAAAAGAAATATAAAAATATGAAAAGTTAATATTTTTAATGATTTAAACTCAGAGTTATATAGTAGAAATTATGTTGATATTAAAGGTGACTTTAGTAGAGACATATATAGAAAAGTCAAGTATTGAAACAGCAATAAAAAAATTCTTGCAGCATAACTAAAGACACAGAAGCATTTCCTCACTCTTTTATTTTAGAATGAGCACATTATTTTAATAAAATGCATTATAAAAACATAGAAATTAACCTATTAATTATTCATTTGTCTTTCATTTAATACAATAATATTTACATATATGTATGAATATATGTTTTAAAATACTTCATGATAACATTTTTTTTTCACCACATGCAAAAACATATGAACAAAATTTTATTAATCGCTATGCTAATAGAGGTCATATTTAAGCGGCTGGAAACCAGATATTTTTCAAAACATATTTTTTATAATATAACTAATTTCTATAGAAGTTGGCGGTGATTTGAATATTTTCCTCAAAGCAGCGTCACAAATAATAAACGTGTTATCTTTTATATGTTCCAAGATACGCGTTACAACTAGGACAGTAATGATCAGCGTTCTGACAGGAATCTACACAGTATGGCACACATACACAGGGCCAGCATCTGAAACAAGATGATATATGGGATAAGATTGAAACTATTAGAGAAAAATTATAGAGGAATCAGTGGTAAGATATATAATAAAACTCAATTTAGGTTTAATATAATAAAGTAAATACTTACAGACACAAACACAACAACGCTGCCATGATGTGTGTTCCAGTAGTGGAGCTGTGTTCAACCTTGCTCTTGACGCTGGCGTGGCAAGCAGGGCATATTAATGGCATAGGTTCAGGTCCAACTTGTATCACGCTCATACTTTCTGAATATTATGAATAGATTCCTCATTATTATCGTATTTAAGACAATTGAGCTTATTAACAACTCCTAAATGGGGTATATTTTGATAGAACTATTATCTTATGGCGAGATGAGTTGAGAACACGTTCTAATATATATTTTGTCATCTACCGCTTTTCAATTTTTATTTTCCTTCCTGTTGTTTCTTCATAAGAAATATAAGCTAACAGTATATTGAGATCTCGCATTTTAGTCAGGCTATTGACTATATTTTATAGGAAAATACCAGAAAATGCCAGACATATTTTTATTGATGCTTTCATCTCGTCTTTCCAAAGATAACGATAATACATAATTATACTATAAGTGCAATAAAATATATAGTTTAAAATGTACTTTCACTAATATTATGGACTTTATTTTTATATGTATTTTATTTACAGACTATGTTAGTGGTAATAAGAATTTAAGATAAAACTTTACAACTGGTCTGATATTGAATAAAAATTTCATGAGAGCTTCTATCGATTCAGTCTCATTTCGTTTATATTTTTGTTTTCTGACCTGTAAAGTTTGAGATCTACTAAATATTATTTATAGCTTTGTAAATCGATTAAGCTTAAATCACTCTAATAATATTCTGTAACGCCACGATTATTCTGAGTACGGAAAATAATTATTAGTTTTTTTCATGGTTCTTCACAATGAGTTTGGACGGGTTCTTGTTGTAAATGAAATTTTTTGCGTTGTTGCGATAAGTACCCGAGATTTTGTTTAATCAGTATATCAGTTACATGCTTATTTATATAAAAATATACATACACATACTGTAAAAAATATTTTTCACGTCATTACTCTTAAACAATCACTTTTATATCTATATAAATTTAATTTGAAAAACATCACAATAAATAAAAATGGTACACGACTTATATTTGGCATGACATCAAGGCCACTCTTACGCTCTTATAAATATATGCTAATAATTTTATTTTTATAGAATTTAAAACCTAATCTCACCTTTATGATATATAAGGAATAGTATAATACTTTAGTTATAAAAAACGCCTGAACGGAACGGCAATTATCACACAACTGACTATGTTTAGAAACACTTTAGTCGTTTCAAACATTGGCACTGCACTTGATATTCAGATATTGTTCAATAATGCACATACACTGAATATTTTATATTATGATTACATTAAACAAGATTTTTATAATCATAGAAATTGACGTATTTTATTTATAAGTTGTTAAAAATACTCTCAATGGATTCATTTTCTGCCCTCATTTCAGATCACTCTATCCAACATAGCGTTGTACTATTTAATATAAAAGGTTCTTTTACCTTTAATTATCGGTATAAAACAATAAATGAAGTTATCACACAACCAAAATATGTAGTAGTAACTAGAACTCACAAACAGAACCACAGAAATAAATGAATGTTAGAAAAAGAATTCATTGACATAACTTAGTTTAGAACCTGCTCTATGCTTCTTCAAGAGGTTTCGCATTCTGTATTTTCCAATTTTAATTTAAGTATCAATTCAACATAGCATTAATGATAAATAAATATATATATATACAGTAACAAGTTTTTAAAGGCGACCTTGAAGATACTTGATCTTTAGTTAGTGACGTAGAGAGATCATAATCATTTAATTATGATAGCTTAAACTCCAAACAAATGAAAATTTTATATTAAATAGGTCATACGTTATGTCTGGGAATAACAAAATGCACGAATTGCTATTTTTGGAGCAACTTGCATAGGTATTGAAGGATTTATTTATTAAACGTACTCTGAATTTTTGTAATCACAAAAGGTAATTAGGACTATTTCTCTGGTCTTTGATAAGGAAAATTGTTAAATGTAACTTATTTATATTAATCATTATGTAATTGTTATAATATACATATATAATGAATAAATTTCTCCTTGGAAATTTAATAAAAGAAGTGATAAAAAGAACTAAGGAAAACATGTATACCTAACAAAAAAAATATCAAAAATTTTACTGCACGGATTAATTGAGGGATCCAATTATTATCATCACGTTAATAGAAGTCAACAGGATGTGGTACACACCCACACGGAAACACTATCTAGATTTATGAGTTCATTAAAACTATTATTGAAATATAACATAATTTTAAACTCATTTACAATTGTAGCAAAATATTAGTATAAAAGTTCCCTTTATAAAACAATGAAAATGCAGAAATACTCCAAAAGTTAATGAAAATCGACACAAATTGACTTTCGTTGTATTGTTCGTTATACTAAAAAATCGCTTAAAAGCTTTTAAATGGATACTAAGAATGATAAAGGGAAATCAATACATGGAATATGCAAGTGTTATTTCTTTAAGCTTGTAGGTAGAACACAATTGTTAAACTTGAGATCTCCGCTAGCATTTGGAATTCATATACTTCCTTTTTTGTAACCTTTTTTGTTTCAAGTTCAAAAATAAGTATACTATATCAATTTTTCTGCAATCTTATATATCTTATGTATGTGGAATGCCAAAATTATTTAACACAAGGCCGGCTTTGATGTTGAAGAAGTACTTGTGATTTTTTTTTAATATATAACCCATTTTGAACTCCTTAAGAAATCATCCTGCATGTATTTAAAAAGATGAATCGCGATGCACGTACAGTTTTATTATAGAAGCCATAAATTTGATGTGGATGTTTTCCTACCCTACAGGGCAAAGTACTATGGTAGAATTGTGAAGCAGGTACTATCTCAAACAATTCTTCAAAACTTGAGGTACATCAACATCAACGGTTAAGAGATTTGAATACAATCATTTCTTGTTCTTGATGGCTTCACCCAATCGATATGTCAGATACGCTATAAGGTCACCAAAGCTTCATACTGCAGAAAAATCATATTGGAAAACACTAACAATCTGGTTCTCTCCTAAGCCAAAAGCTGATCAATAATAATGTTTCGGTCCATCACCTTTGACAGTAAGAAGGTAATCGCGTTAGATGTGTAGTTGGCTATATAATGGCTGTTTAGCCACATACTGTTTAGAAACTATATACTGAATTTATTATTACAACATAAAAATTACTATTATTATTATACATAATAATACTCAATTATGTGCAAGGTTATTAGTTCATACAATATTTTATTATATAGGTACTGACAAATGTTCATACTGTTTAAGCAGTGTCCCTCCAATATTTTTTATTAAGTAAATATTGTTTTAGAACTCTAATATTACTACGACGTGGGAATTAATGTCTGGCCATCCATGTTAGTTTATCTTCCACCAATTCACAATTTTGCTATTAAATTTCAGTTCGTACTCATTTAGGTACGAGATACGAAAAATCTTTTATTTATATCGCACAATATAAATATATCGTAGTAGAGAATTTTACTACGTCTTCATGCTTTTAACTATATTTTTTACTTCTACATTATGCAGAGAGTAATACAGAGCTATCAAAGCAAGAACGATATTTCGATTGCTCCCACCGCGGTGGCTAATTATAGCTTTCAATAAACTGGGCGACTCGTATAAATTTTCATTTCAACCTTAACATTGAAACTAGTCACGTCTGTTATTCATATATCGCTTATATAATAATATGCATACATGTGTTAATTCTATTGTATATAACAATATACATATAATACCAGAAGATTTAAACGGCTTAATAACTGGCGATAGTTATAAATATTTAAATAATTTTCTTATTTGCTACATAGGATTTTTGTGGAAGTTTAGTTATAAAAAAGTATCATTAAACACTATTTAAACTTGTGTTGTTTACTCTGGAATACGGCATTCTAGTATGCTTAGTCTAAATCGTTACAGCTTCAATGTTTAGTATTGACCACGTGAGGGATAGACGGCGCCACCATCCCGGGGAAATACCTAATGTCTAGGCAGAAATTGAATTGTTTTTAGATAATATTTGTTTTGAAGTCAACTCCATTGAAATCATTGACAAAAATTCATTTAAACCCCTTAAAAAAATTGGATATAAAACGATATGAAAAAGAAAGTAGCTAGGTACCAATTTTTGTTTAAGGTATTTATAGTGATACTAATAAATTAATAATTATACTATACGATAATAAGAAGAAAACAAACATTATCATTAATTCAACTTATTCATTAAATATTAAAAATTAAAATTTTTTCGCGTAATCATAGCTTTATAACATCTTTTCATAACAATGGAATTTTTCGTCACGCAACTGTCCGGGGTCGGGCACAACTACATAGTTTTGTAATGTTTCTTTATATGAACATTTAACACAATGTACATATTTTAATGTCGTTGCTGAGTGACCAACATAAACAAACACTTAATTACCTACTTATACTTAATCTATAACCATTGAATAGTTTACCTATTAAAGAAATAGTGACGTCGACTGATAAAATTCATAAGTAGTTTTATAATATTAAAACTTATAAGAAATTATTATTTATTCGGAAAACATTAAAAAAATACATATGTTTGATCTATTTCCATATTATTGTTGGAAAAATCAACATTTCAGACGTCTTTAACGCGTACCGGTATGGTAATGAGCACTTACCAAAAAGGAAATATTGTAAGAAAATTAAGTATAAAGATATACTGTATGTCACTAAAGTTGATAAAATTTACAAAAGTACTTCACATACGATTTAGTTTTTATGCACTAATGAAACTCACTCGCATAAAACATTAGTAAGATACTCTGTAAAATTTAGGCATTCTTAACAAAATATCACCAATGTGTAATATCACCAATATCACCAATGTGTAATATAGTAAAAGAAAGAAAATTATACACCCCTAATATGAGATAGAATTTTGAACTTAAAACCGTGTGTTTAACGTTTGTAATTCAATATTTTAAGCAACATTATATATACGATGATTTATAAATAAAAATGTTGAATTATCAGAATATTAGCAGACTATGTAAACCAATACTTATTGCAATAAGCATCACGATACCCCTATATATGTATGTATATATGTATAT